TCTGTGTTAGCTCAATATAGAAAATTATCTTGGGATTTAGATTAATCAGAAACGGAGATATTTAATTTTTTTATTGTTCACAGAACATGTTCACGACTCTGAAAATCTTGGCTGTGATTGGTGGATTGACATTCTTGGGTGGCAACAGTCTTCTGAGCAACATCGCAGCCCGCAGGTGAGCTGGTGACGAGTTTTTATTCCAAGCCTCCAGAACAGTTTCTGTTGAGTTGTATTTCGTTCTTGTTTCAGAAGATTTTAAAGCAACATTGTCTTTCTATCTCTTTCAGGGGTAAACGTCCTGCGATGTAAAAGAATTAGGCTTGCTTTAAATTCTTCATTTTTACAACGTGTTTATTGTTCAATAAAGTAATTCTTTAAAATAACAAACCTCCTTTTTAACTCGTGGATTACGCGTAGCGTAAGGAACTAGTTATTGTAATCACTGCGATATGCAAATGTGTCACCCAGGTGTGGACACTTTTGCAATTAGTTGGCTCGCATGAGAAGGCCCGTTCCGCGATCAAGAATTGCTGAGCGTGCACTGTGCCCAGTGCTTTTGATGTTATGATTTCGTACCTTTCACAGGACGATAAGTGTCTTAATATGGACTTACTGTTTCAAATACGGATTATGGCCCACTTTGAGACAGAAGTTTACAAACTTTTGATGTTTTGACTCGTCCAGGCGATAAACATGACGACGAGTTCTGTAAATGGTCTTGGACCCCCCAAGCTGGTCTACGCTCACGATTCTGCCGTGAGTCTCACGATTTTTAAACTTTTCTGACGACAAGACTCCCAATCGTATAGTTTTTCGGGAAACATTTTTCTGAAATGAAATCATTTTCTTTGTTGAATAAAAACAGAAAGGTTTGCAAGCTGTACAACGCCGTCAGCAAGAGACTTCGCTACGGTTTTATGAGACAAATGATATCGCATTGTTGGCCATATGTTCTGCAAATGCGACGAAATGAGTTAAAGTACGTACGGCTTTTACCGTCAAACCCTTGCTTAGGGGCCGACCATTTAACTCTTGAGGAGGGGAGGGGGGTTTAGCGCTTGTCGGAAGAAAAAAATTGCATGCAGCACAAATGTAATAAAAAGCTTATGGGAAAAAAAGGGAAAAAAATATCCTGCCCACCAGATTGCTAGAAAAAAAAATTCTTGATGATCAGAAATCACCCACCCCTCCCCTCAAGAGTTAAATGGTCGGCCCCTTATTTTCCTCGAATATGCCTTTCAATTCTTCATAAATAAAGCTCTACCAGCTTCAAACAGCGTCTACCGGCAGAAATGGGCAAAAATGTTAAAGATAATTAATTTAACATCTTTTTATGTTTAACCTTAGTTGTCGTGGCGCAATAGATAATGCGTTGACTTCGCACGTTAATGGTTTGGAGTTCGACTCCCGCCGGAGGAATTTTTTTATTCTTACTTTTTGGTCGTTTTGTTTTTGTTTTGTTTTGTTTTGTTTTTTAGCAAATTTTCATATTTTGAGAGACTTAAATTATACCGGTAGACTAATTGCAAGTTCATTATCAGCTTTCATTTCTAAAATAATTAATCCACGAGTTGGCCATAGACACCCTTTGATTGCTCTTAGTGTAGACACTTACAATTGCTTTGTCGCCTAGAGCCTTGACCACGTGCGCTGAAAATCTCGGCTAAAGTCTCAGTTGGTACAGTTCATTTCCCCAGAGGATAGACCTATTCATTCCGACCTGTTTCTTCTCTCAAATGAAACACTCCGGACTCGTCCAAATGTTCCTCAAATTTCGGAAGCAAACTTGTTCTAAATGTCTCTATCCGTCCCCTCGTGGGAGAAGGACAGATTTACCCAACTTTTGATGGCCACACTTTCCATTCTCCCTTGACCTCAGTAAAGACAAATTTCATACAAATCTGCCCCTCTCCCAGATCGTCTGTTTGTATTCTCCCAGATTCTGGGAGACACGTGACTAGCCTAAGTCAAGTTTACTGTTAAAGTTTACTTCGGGGACTAGGAGAAAGGATAGTGGGACGTCACCCCTCTTCCCCAGTCCCTCTCTTTCTCAGTTATGTTTGCAGCATTAAAAGAAGGAAAAAAGCCTTATAAAAGAAACGGATATTAGAACAGGTAGATACATAGATACATTGTTTATTGCAAATGTTTTCCAATACAAAGTCCTATTAAAATTCCAGTAGTTTGCAAAATTGACGGAAGAAAAATAGCAACAAAATTTTACGCTATTTCCGAGTTTCAAAATCCCTCACTTTCAAAATGAGGCTAGGTGCAAAAACTTTTCTTGTGAAAATGAGTTTTCATTGCACGAGAATATCAAAGCATTTTCTTAACAATTTCTCCGCTCTTAGCCTCGCTTTGAAACAGTGTTTGCGCAACTTGGTAATCGCTTATGCGCCCTTTTTTAAGTAAAACTCTAGAATATTGCAGGCGGTTATAAACGTTGCTTTCTTTGCTGTGCAGTTGACAACTCCTCCTGCTTTGTTTGGCTATAACTGTATCGCTGTTGAACGCTCAAATCTATTTAAGGGTATAAACGCTGAAAACGCTTTCTTAGCTAAAAACATGAGGAATTAAAAATAGCTTTTCTCCAAATGTACACCGTAATTTTTAGGGAGTTTATTATAACTCCAAAAATGGAGTAAAAATTTTAGGTACAGGATAACCCCTTTTTTGGGGTTATTTTAACTCCTACTTTAACTCCGAATTTGGGGTCATTTTTACTCCTGAAAAACAGTTTTTTTTACTCCCGGTCTGGAGTTAAAATTACTCCGAAATGGGGTTACTTGTACTCCTTAGATGGGTTGTTTTTACTCTTTTCGGAGTTAATTTAACTCTGAAAGTGGAGTAAAAATTTTAGGTACATGATAACTCCTTTTTGGGGGTTATTTTAACTCCTCAATATCTGGGGTCACTTTTACTCCTGAAAAAGAGTTCTTTAAACTCCTTTTTGGAGTTAAAGTAACTCCACGAAAATAACTCCACTGTAAGGAGTTAAATTAGCCCCACTAGAGGAGTTATTTTAACTCCCTGAAAATTACAGTGTACAACCATCTAATTGACATACATTTGTATCGTCAGTAATATTTTATACGCTACTGCATTATACTACTTATTTAGTAAAAGCAGTTCTAACGTTTTAGCAGAACCTTCACATAATGCCATTGGTCTTGCAGTATTTTATATTTGGGCCTTTTCGTGAGTTCTCAATCGGAGCGCTCTCGGGAATGAAAGCGTTAAAGAGAAATTACTGGGACAACTCGACTACTTTCCCTAAAAGATTCACAGCTATGAGAATTTGCCAGTTGCCGGCCTTATTCTTGGATGATCACGTTGTGATCACATGAGGGATCTCTTCAGTTTCCCAGTCGTATTCAGATTGATTTGAATCGAGTAAGCACTTAAATGGATTCTCGCCATACACGTGATCTCCGCTTGACCTCTCAGAATCAAGGAGTACTCGTGCCCAGTATTCACGGTTCACCGACGGTTTATTACCTCCGAATTCCGCCGGCAGCTTTTCTTGATCACAATGATCGTGAAGATTTGCCATGTTGTTTCCATGCACGTGAATCTGAAATTTGAAAAAGGCAAAAAGTAAAGAAAAGATAGCGCGTGAAGAATTTTCCACTTTTGGCAGAATATTGACTGACAGAGCAAAGTCTTATCTCATAATAGATCTTACGCACTAGGACGGCAGTAGCCTGTTCCGGCTGGCTCCAAGAAAGTAGGGAAAGTGGATCGAGAAAAGTTGTGCGAAAACTGCGTGGGGGCTGGGGAGAGACGGAGTAGTGGACCCTGTAAGCATTGTTTTCAATAGCTCATTCTGGTATACCAGCTCCTGGTATACCCTATCATTGGTCAATTGTGTGAGTTTACTTAAACACTTATGTCAGTCACTTGGCTTCGCGCGCGCAGAGTCTAACAAACATGTCAAGCAAGTGAAACTCTCCCACACCACACCTTTTGACGTTTTGACACGAGAAACGGTTTTTTCAGGACGTCCACGGATTAGTGGGTGGATTGAGGTATTTGAAAAAGGTGCTTACGGGCTCTCCCCTTTCTTTTCCCTCCGTTTTTCGCTCGTTCGCTTTTTCTCTGCTCGCTCGCTTTTTTCGCTCGTCCGCTAGGACGGCAGAGGAAAGGAGACGGCAAACCTTATGGGACAAACTCAAGATCTTTTTGTAATATAAAATACCAGAACACAGTAATATCAAGTGAAGATCACGACAAAACACGCACGTAATACTCCTGTCACGTTCGTAACGTGTAAACGTTTCTCCGTCGTCGTTTTTCTGCCGTTCTGTTGCGTAATTTTACTATAATTGTGCGAAACGACAGGCTCACGGCCAGCCTGCTATCGTGCAAAAACTGTGTGTATTGCAGGTCTAATGGCATTAATGCATCGGTTTTTCAACAACTTTGCGACTATCTAGAGGCGATTATTCATTATTGTCCACTGTCCTCGGAACATCTTTTGGTCTAAAACATAGGCAGCGTTCGCAGTTGATACCCGAGCACAGTGGCCGAGTATTGGTACTCGCTATGCACTAATGTGAACACACCGTTTTTAATGGACCCGCGCTAGAATTTTGGCACAGTGTCGGTGCCCGAATACAATGTTGAGTCCTTGTACTCGGGCACAAAACAGGACACCGCGTCCCTGTGTGCACACCGTTAGTTCTGGGGCAGCCCACTGCCTAGTACTCGCTGCTAAGCTCACGTGTCAAAATGACGTCTGACAGGCCGAAATGGAGTAACTATGTACACAGTCACATATAGGATACTCAAGGTGTGAACACAACACTATTATGTTCCTTTGCCAAGGCACTGATTCCCGGGTACCGAGTGTGGACAGCTCCTCAATTAGAATATGGTTTCGAAAGTGCATCTCAAAATCACGCCAAATAGAGTGGTGAAATCAAGAACATAGGTTTATAATTCAAGTTCTTCACGGGTCACCCAAAACCTTCAGATCACGGATCACGAAAAATAATTTATTAAATTCACGTTTCACGGAAAATAAAAATCAGCTAGTCACGCATCATGGGAATACCCTCAAAGAATTTGAAACACACGTTTACAGCATACATGGTTTTAACCGTCCCAGCGAAAAAAAAAAACATTATTTTTAGCCCTTATCTTGGCATAGTCAAAGTCCCTTAGCTGTTCGATGCGGTTCACAAATTATTTTTACAAGGCCTCACAGGATTGGCTGTTAAAACAATAGACATAGAAATATAACAATGACTCCACCCCCAGAGGTTTTTAAGAGCTGCGTACTAACTGCAAAACTTCGATAAAAATTTGGCATTAAGAACTCGTCGTCCCTAACATTTTAAAGTATAAATATCGTGTTAATAAGTGACCTGATTTATCACGTGACGATTTTTCAAAAAAAATTTAAACAATTGACAAATAAGTGACGAGTTTAAGAAAAGAACAGTTTTCTCATTCATATTAAATATTAATTTCTAACACTTTACGTTTGGAATGACTGTCCATTGCACTTCAATAAAAACATTATGAGGGAAAACATCATTTTAAATGCCCAAATCTGACCTTGAATTATTCAAAACTTTAAATTTGCACTTCGCGTACATTCATTCCAAACGTAGAAAGTTAGGTATGTTTATCCTCTATCAGAAATGCCTATTTATTTATCCAAACAAAGTAAATTCGCCACCAATTCGCCAATGTTCTTCATTTTCAGTTTTTGGTCCCGTGACAAGTGACCAGAAATAAACGTTAAGGCACAAGAAGACCCCAGGATTTACTTTTAGCGTAAAAATCATTTTTTTCTACGTAGGTATCCTAGTGAGAGATATTGCCAATCAATCATATGCTCCGAACACACCTTTTCGCAGGCTTAAACCCCTTGAGAAAAGATTACTTTGATGAAAAGGATTTGTTCCTAGCGCGTATCGCCATAGAGTTGTCACTTACCCGTTTCCAGATCTTTGTTTCAATAAATGGTTTCAGTAAAGTCAGAACAGCTCTCACATACCAGGGCTCGTTCACAAAATGGAAACCAAGAAACCTTGCTGGGTAGTGATCCTACAAAATTAAGGACAAAAAATTATTTACTTAATAGATATGTGGTTCAATGTCGAAAAGCTAAGAGAACGACGTCAACACCAGCAAATAACACCAGTGGCAAAAATTCCCTTATTAATAGAACACCAGCCCAGACCTGAACAAAATTCATCTCGCTACCCTTCCGAATCATCAAAATCTACAGATTTTGTCAAATATTACAACTCAAAAACTGGCGGCATGTCTGACATTATGGGAAAAAACCCCTACCCCCTCAGTCCTCAGGGCCGAGTTGTTCAAAGCTGGGTTAAGATAACCCAGGGTTAGTGCGAGATTTGAATTCAGATTTGAAAACTTAAAAAGCATTTCAGCTTGATTCTTTTTGTCTACAAGTTGATGATTGGAAGCTCTAAAAATAGCACAGAACATTATACGAGAAAATGCTTTAGAACACACGAAAAAGAAACCCGAGTTAATTTTAACCTCGGGTTATTTGCTAATCGGCCTTCGAACAACTCGGCCCAGGGGGTTAAACAGGATACCCAACCCTCCAAGCTTCAGGGCTCTAGGCACATCTCGCACCCAGACTCCCAATGCGAGACGTCTTTGAGAGATTGGCTTTTTGCTAATCAGTGGATGCTTCTTAGCATTGTATGTTTGGTTTTAAATTAGCCGGCAAATGACAAGAATTGATATGGAAAATCCCTCCATAGTAAAACTCAAACGAGCAAGCATTTTTATAGTGCAATACAACCGCAAACTCCTTTTACAAGATGAAATCCAAAAAAGAAAAATTGCCGCCGATCGAATGAATAAGGTTTAACTTGTGCTTTTATATTTTCTGTTTTATTATTTTGGTATGAATTGGGCAGTGGATAGTTACGTAAGAAACGGGTAACTATAGTGACTACCGCAAGGTCAGGGCTTCTACTGAGAACCCGGGGGGAAGGGAGGGGGATTGAAGGGAAATTGAGTACCCCTCAAACCTTGACTTTTTTGAAAGACGAAATCATGAGCATTGGGGAACATCAACATTGTTACGTAACATTTGAAATATAAGTACTTGTATGGGAAAAAAAACCTATCGTTTTAGGACCTTTTAGCAACCTACGAAAACGAAAGGATTTCAATAAAAAACAGCTTACCTTACATAAAATGTGTTTTACTTCTCTCCTGTGTGGTCCGTTGGCTGAGTTATGGCCGTTTTATGGGTTGTACTGTGAACGGTTTTCTCTCTAAACCTTTAAAACAGAGAGAAAACCGTTTACAGTACAACCCATAAAACGGCCATAAATCGGCCCATAGACCACACAGGAGAGACGTAACACACATTTTATGTAAGGTAAGCTGTTTTTTATTGAAATCCTTTCATTTTCGTAGGTTACGGAAACGATAGGTTTTTCCCCATACAAATCCTTATATTTCGAATGTTATGCAACAATGCCGATGTTCGCCGATGCTTATATTTCGAGCCTGGCTACCTGTGAAGACAAGAGAACTTTTTTGTTGCCCAAATATAACACTCTGTTTAAAAACATCTTCTTTGTTTCTTTAATTTGGAGTCAATGGGCTTTTTTTAAACAGATCACACTGCAAGTGTAGGCCGCGCACCACTAAGTTTTACACCCTGTTCGTTCCCTTCACTGCAGTTTTCTTCGGGTGCGTGATCGCAAATTTCTTTGCTCGCGTAAAAGGTATGTTGAATTCTAAAAAATGAGGCAATTCAAAGTGGGTGGTTTGCTTCCTTTAAACTCAGCAGTGATACAATCAAAGATGGCGGCCAAGGAACCCAAATACACGCCTGTATTGTTTTAGTCTACCCCCTGTTCAAGGTATCCAGTCCAGAGGAAAACCCTGTTCAAGACGCTTAATGGAGAAATTGTAAACCCTGTTTTGGACTGTTTTTACCCTGCTTGGCCGCACAAACCAGTAAGACCTCCCCCCTCCCCCAGATCTGCAAACTGGGAGGTTGCGAGTCATCGAGTCTGAACTACCTTCAGAGTCCCCAAGGCTGCAGTTGCTTGACAAATTAACGCTTAATTTAAACAATTTAAGAACATTTAGCAGCATTTAAGTATTTATAGAGGCTCGGCAACAATGAAACTGTAACTAAATTACAAAAATCCGGATAACATAATCCTTTCACAATTTTTGACATTTATATATATGCGATCCTTTCACAGAAACAAAAGTAATTAAGGTGTCCATCAAAGCAGAAATATTCGGTAAACGTGACTGATTATTCTTTTTCCGTTTCTTCTCGATCCTTCTACTACTAAACTTATACAAGGAAAAGCATCATAAAGAAACCGATTACAGAAGATCTTATGCGGAGCTCCCTTACCTGAAGCATACAGCAAACTTGACGAATGAAAGAAACAGACAATTGGGATGTGTGAGTGGTCGTCCATCCCGAAAAATCGGCAATAATTATTATTCCATTTCTTTGAACGTCTTTGTCCTCTATCAAGCGTTCCATGCTTAGAATAAAAGCTTTCAAAATATCTACCGAGCCATAAGTTTCGGTGTCCCACCCGCCAGCAAATATAACCATCATTTTAGCTCCATTCTGATTATTGTACGGTAAGACACAAGGAAAACCGTCCTCAATAACATGATGTAATCTCCAGGCGGAGAGGTTTTGAAAAACGGAGGCATTCTTGGCACGGAATTCTTTATAATTACACAGAAGTTGATAAGATGCCGGCACTCTGAAATACCGAGCTCGGAGAAAGAGGAGAAGGAATGCGTCGTCGTTGCGTTCTAGGTGTACAAAATTGTTATTTCTGTCTTCTATAATCTTCGACCTGAGCGCTTTGATTTTCTCCTTGTGTTGACTTTGTGCCGGCTCCTCATCGTCGTCTTGTTCCGGTAAGTTCTGTTCGTAAATTATGTCCTCTGTTGACGAGGTTAAGTCTTCAGAATCGCTGCCAGGGCTTTGATCCATGAGTCTTGCTGATCTGATGACAAAATAAAGTTAACTTCCTGAACTAAAACAGTGTTCAATGTTGTTGGCTGTAATCTCCTTTCTTGTAACTAACAAATTCGCTTAAATACTGCGCTTATTGAAATTAGTCATTCTTTGCATGCTTATAAGTAAGTTCAAAAAGTTTTGTAATCATGCCCACGCAAAGTTTAAGTTTGACACCAATCAGATCACATGCACATCCGCTTTTTTCAAAGCAGCGACGTTTTTACCATTGAACTCCGGCTGCTAAGATACGAAAACACTTCGCAAAAACTTCTGGGCCACGCAATTGTCGTTTGAGTCTACGGAGGAGTTGGTGTTTAATATGTAAGAAATGTAAAGTACTAATTTCATTTCTATTAACATAATGACTCGCTTGACTACTCATCAGTTTCATAATAAACGCCCTTCGATGCATTTGAAGGTGGCAGGAGAGCGCGCTTTCTGTTACAACCACGCAACCAAGGTGCGCTTTCTGTCCGCTATGCGGGCTTTAGCGAACATGTCAGTTGTAGTCTGTAGAAGGTACTTATTCCAATGTTTTTAAATTACTTTTTAGGATTAATAATAAAGATGACGTTTTTAAAATATGTAAGATCGGTCAGTTAAAAAGTATCCTCCGAGCAGACGTTTCTTTGCACACATTTACGAAGTCGTTCGCGTCGCTATCAGTTGCGTAGTTAGTTTTTACCGCGGTCCTCAAGAGAAACGGGGCGTAAACATTAACCAACTACGCTTCTCATCATGACATACGACACTAACGACTTCGTAAACGCTAAAAGCTACGGAAGAGAAACCTATGCTCGTAGGGTAGTTAAAAGAAGATCAGGGGCCGCACCCAACGAGAATATACTTCAAAACCACTTAAACATAGCATTGTTAAAACGTATTTTAGTATTTAAACGGTAGATATAGGCATATTTTTATCCCCTAAATATTTTTCGTCTGTTCGGATTTCCTAGTTGAAAATTAAGGCTAGTGATCCGAAAATTATAGGGATCATAACTTGCCTTCAGTTTTCGAAAATTTCAGCCAAATAAAAGGCTCCCGAAAATTCTAGCTGACCTTTTCAGGGTAGAAACCCGGCAATTATACCATTTTTTGGATGTTCGAAAATCCTAAGAGAGGCAGGCAAGTAAGAAATTTTGCAACAAATGTTCCGAAAATTCTAGATCTCAATCGTCTTCCAAACAGATATTTTCCAAAAATTGACGTTGGGTGCCCCTGAGAGGATGTATGTAAAAATAGCAATGTAAAACTGGATCACTTTCAATTTTAAATAATTGCGTTTGAAAATGATAAAATGCTGTCATCTAGGGTGTTGATAGTTCTAATATTAATCCTAAAATAGCAAAATCTTCAGGCAAATTGTTTAAAAATTAAAAGTTATTGAAGAATTATAAATGTGAAGAAAAAACACTTGTTAGGTCGTGGACCACATTAGACTGTTCACCGTCCCCATGTTTTCCCGTAAGATCGTCGAGATCGAGCGCTTGGATCGGTGTCAAAACTACTTAGGGGGCGGGGGGCGGTTTGGGAGGAAGCGAGTGAGTTACAGTCCCTTTATTTTTCTCGCTTCCTCCGCCGCCGCCCCCTAAATAGTTTTGACACTCATCCAAGATGGCAGCCCATAACGCAAAGTGATCGATCTCGACGATCTTACGGGAAAATATGGGGACTGTGAACAGTCTAGGACCGCATAGAATGTATGTAGGAACGATTAATTTGCTTCTGGTTAGAAGTACCGATGCTAAGGAACTGTCCGTTTTTTATCCTTTATTTTATATCCTGTTTACATTACTGTGCATGATCTCCTGTTTACACTATTTAGTTGGGAGATCTCTTAACCGGTATGTATTATTGAGCTGGTATGACCGCAATAGAATCAGAAATTAGTACTTAGGCTTCGTCCACGTTATTCTCCCCTACACGAAGAAGTTCCTTTTTCGTGATCTCTTCTGGCGTGCTAACGGTAAACTATGCCGACAACTGTCCCATTTTCTACCGTGCATAAGCGAGATACATCCAGTGATACGATTCGCGAAAATAATGCAGCAGTTTTTTGTCCAGCGCACACTCACTGGTCATACAATCTGTCATCTGACTAGTTATGGATGCAGATGAGGTTTACAACTATTTGACACACAAATTGCTGCGGAATATTCAACAGTACACCAAAAGAATTTTATTTTAATGTTGAAATGTGAGTTAACGCTTATTATAGTTGATCTGTTTTCGGTGAACAATTCATGTGTTATTTATTGAATTTCTTTTTGTTGACGGTCAGGCCTAACCGTAAGAAAAAAATTTCGTTTTAAAACTTTTTCCAGCGTAGTGTTGACGGGCATGAAGTAAAATATGACCTGTGATAAGGTCTTCGCTTCTTCCCCAACTTTCGCGCTCCATGGAAATATACCTGATCGCAGTTCAAGTACTAAAGCGATAAACAAAATCTATCTACATAGTCTTCTATAGAAAAATGGCAAGATGCATTGTTCGCTAATAGCAAGAGAAAATGAGCTCATTCTCTCTTGCTAATAGCTAGAGTTGACAGCTTCAAAAGGAGCCAGCTCAAAGTAGTAGGGAAAAGAAACCTGAAGCCTACTATTTTTGCATGAGTGGGTACATGTCTGCATAACTTGAGCAGTGTGTGAGCAGTGAGTGCAGACTTACCTGGATTTCATTTCCTTTTTTTGACTGAGAAGATCGACTTCTGTCTGTTTTCGTACGTGAGAAAAATTCCAAAGAAGTGCGAGTGAGTTTTTGATATGCAATCACAATCATGATCAATTCCCCGCATTTCTCTTTTCTGCATAAATTTACACTTCTCGTGACACACGTACAAAACAACTTAGCTAAAAGAGTAAGCTTTACGTGATTAACAGTTATTCTGCACCTTACTGGTTACACACAAATAAAGCCCAGCACGTGCTATGCGATTATTAGATTTTGTTTTGTGATGAGGTGATAATATTATCGCCTATTATAGTGATATATGCGACCGTCAACTGGAGTCATTAGTGGCAGTGTCATAAGACTTATTCGTCTTATTAGGCTGCTTGGAAATCGAGCTGAAGGGTTTATCTCCATTTATGTTATAGGAATCCGCTTGTAATGACCACCTCGTGCTAATAGTTGCTGTTTTTAATGGTTGTATACAGAAACAGGAGCCCTGTTGGACTTGAGTTCTGACGGACAAAATTACAGCTTTTTTTCCACCAAAATATGCCTTCTAAGCCCCGGCGTTAAATCAAACGTCAAGAACAAAGAATGGGGAGTTTGGAATTTTGTTAGGCTGTAGAGGTACATTTTTCCTTTTGTTAAAGAAAGCCTGAAAATATTCAGGCTCAACGGGATCAAAACAATTGACCTCTGCGATACCCGTGCACAACCCGGATAGTACTTCTACACTCTTTCTTTTTTATGGGAATATTGTTTTTGCGGCCCAGGCTGAATATTCCTATTTTTCTGCCGATTTTAGGCTGAAAATATCCTT